CGGTCACATAAATGCGGAAGAATGTAGAGAAGCTTGCCGGTAGTTGTGAGTTGAACGGTGCCTATCGCCAGGACCTAATACGATTCTGGACTTTCTCTGCTCCGCTTTAATGTTAAAGAATTGCAGTAACCTTGACAATCGCCGAACGGAATGACGGGGTAGTGAGTAATCGCCAAGCCAACTTTTCTCTAACCTTTTACAAGCCTCTGAATCTTTTACAAAACCGCACTGGTAGGACTTACTCGATATTCGACACCAATCAGTCAGCACTGAGGCCACCCTCAAAGTTTTGACGCGTGCGAGGGCAGTTTCGATGGTCAAGTGGAGCCATCCTGTCCAATCTTTAGCCACGGAGCCAAAGGCCATGTCTTCTAGAAGTGAAGCTCGGCGGAACCACATAGAGTGCTGCTTGTTAATCTGCAAGTGCAGGAAATGAAAAAGACTGCTCGCGCAGGATAGCCTAGAACATTTTTTTGCACGGAATGACGGGATGAGTAATGTGGACAATTCCTTCAGACACTGTCTTCACTTCTATTCCCTTCGAATCCGTAAAACCGACATGTCTGGGATCTTAGGGGCCCTGACTATAAAGCTGACTACCAGGAAAAATTCATGAAAAGGACGTAATGGACCACTGTGGCAAAAAGTCAGGCGGTAGATCTCTTTCACTGTTCTAAGACACTTTGCGGGAACCTAAACACTCGTGACCTAATCGTGGAAGTTTTGGAGCTGCTTAAGGGCGGCGCATTACTGTATATATTATTAAACTTAACGGGGATGACTTCACCTTATTGAGACCGTGAGAGCTGTAGCGGAGTGGGCGCTCGTGCTTGTAGAGAACTATCTTAGAAACACTACACATGGGCCCTTCCTGAAGCTTTGCTCCCAGTGCGAAGTTGACCATGGTGACCCACTCTATGGGTAAAGTGTTTTTCTACAAGTCACCACTTTACAAGGACCAGTGCAAGAGACGAGTAATGTAATTTTACAGCTAGGATCAACACTTGGTCTGAAGTGTCTCTCACAACTCACCACTTGGGCATATTGTGCATCGGATGCCACTGATCAGACCGCCTGTTGTAAAAAGAGAGGTGAGTTCCTCGTTATTGTTAGAGGCGTAGATGAGAAGTGCCAGTCCCTTCCTGCGTAAGGTAGACAGCTCGCAGCGACAGAAGGTGTCCAATTTTGTGGTATGAAACTGTTCCAGGAAAATGCCCAATGCATCCGGCCCACTTTTCTACAGCCGCTACTTGGAAGGGAAGGTCGATGGTGCCATAAAATGCTTGTTTTTAAAGGAATGTGCTAGGGGAAAAGCAACTATTCCGCTGAAAATGGCGTGATATCAACAGTCGGAAACCCATCTGGGCATCCATTTCATCTGCGTCTTCTCTCGCACCTGATTTCAATCAGTCGTAATCCGGGCACTTGATTAGGGGGGGCCAAGGGTCGCGACGCGGCTGCGTGTCACGAGCGCGGCGATCAGCTGTTTCCAGCCTATTTTAGCCATTTTCTCCCTAATTTACACTGTTTTGGCTGCTTTTCTCAAGATTAGTTGTTCCTTGTCTTCACAAGGTAAATTATGATTGAGATTCCTCTGATTTTTGCGTACAATCAAACAGTTAAGCAGACAATTGAACAAATACCTGAAAAAAATCGCAAAAACACTCTATTGCAAGTAAAAAAAGAATCCGCATTCTAACACACCTCATAAAGGTAAAAAGCAACTTTCCTTGAAAAAATAGAAAATACACTGGAAATTAGGGAGAAAATGCCCAAATAAACAGCTGATCGCTGCGGCGTGACGCGCTGCAGCTGCGTCGCGACCCTTGGCCGCCTAACCATGGCCCGGATGGCTACTGTACATTCGGGCGCTCACTATGGAAAATGTTCGCTTTCCTGAGAAGAACCTGTCAAGTATCTTTCAGTCATTTTCGTTTTCCTCATTTCTTTTCTTTTTTCTTGTTTACGTGAGCTCTTGTGATTGTACCCTTACCTGAAACTTTTGATGTTCGACTTTTATATTGGCCTCGCATACTTGCAGGGAGTTTCTATTCAAAAATTAAGCACCTTTGAGTCTCTCCACCTGTCTCTACCCTACTCCTTTATACATAGTAGCCTAGCAGCAGAAGGCCTTCTCTGCATATCTATATCAGCTCCTCTCATATCTTTTTTTGTCTTATTCTCTGTTCCTCCTTGAATAACTCTTCTATCCTCAATCATTATCTTACATTGAATTCGAAAGGTTTTGCCATAGATTGCTATACTTTTGATACTTGTGATGAAAAGGAGTGTCAAGACTCTCCTTTTGCGTCTAATCAGGAAACTAAGGCCGTAGAAGGTTCTTTTTTGAAGAGTAAGAAGAAGCGGTACCTCTCAAAAAGACTGAGACTGTGTGGAACAGTTTTGACCTCGCTATAAGGCATCTCCTTCTTGTTTCTTCGAATTCACTTGGGAGCTTACTCACGACCCAGATTATCCACGGACACCCACGTCTGATAACGTAAAATCAAAGATAGTTTCCACGATCAGTTTCGCTAATGCCTTTGGCATCTTGAAGACAGCTCCCGCGATAAAAGTGTCATGGATAGTTGCTTTTCAATTATGAAACAGTAGCTGATAAGTAATCTCCCAAAGAAGAAAACAAGCAAGAAGCGTCCTCCAGAACAACATAAACAAAATCGCTCCCTCACAGTCACACCTCCCTGCGGTCTCTGTGCAACCCCTAGCTCACAAATCTCTCTATCACATCTCGCAGTAGTTGATATCATCCAGTGCAAAAAAAAGAATAAAAACGCAGAGGAAAAACTCTTGGAAGGAAAAAGAAATTTCAAAAACTCGGTGTCCGAGTTTTGGGTTACGGTAGCGCACATTTTAGTGCACTGAAGTGCGTCGAGCTTTTGCACCACGAAAATTGCGTCACTCGTGATTTTTACGCGTTTCACCTCGCGAAATGGGTTGAGTTGAATGTATATACCTCCAATGAGTAAACTGTAATAAAGGAGAGCAGAATTATCCATGGGCATTAGCAATGCCCGCCGCCCCAACTAAGAACAACTGAGTGGCCTCCGTCGGAGGACATCTAGCAAGTAAGGCGGTCCAACTGAGCAGGCGTTAGAACTAGAACTTTGAGCGGCTGTAGCTCGCTCCCCGCTCACTGTGGAGTCGAATAGAGTGGGACAGTCTTTATCTTGGGGGCTGTACTACTTGCAGGAAGGACAACCATGTACTACTCGTGTGGCGGGCTGTCTTTAATCCGCATTCGCCCAGAATGTACTACTTTCGTCACTCTAAACGGCGAGATAAAGATACTAGAGGCGCGTTATTGCAACCAGGATTTCTTTCATTTTGCAAGAGAACGGCTCACAAGCGGACTGCGTAGGTACATAACCTTGCATGGAGCGTCTAAGGGAGATTTCATATGCTCGTACCGATAATCGGTTCCAAGCAGAATCATGCTGATTGGGCTTGTTCTCACGATGTGTACTTCTAAGGCGCCACCCTCACTGCCTAGGGAGGTCCCTGTTCAGGGTATTCCCAAAGTTTTTTTTTTCGCTTCTTTCTCTACTGGAGAGTTACTTATCTTATGGGCTCTGGTTCCGTGGCCCTTTCCGTAACTCACGCGGCTTTCCTGATTTTTTCTTCTTCAGTCTCTCTTAGTCGTCATAGACCATTGTCAGCCACCCCCTTCCGATCTCCAGTATGGGATGTATGGTGCTCATCATTGCAGACCGGTGGGGCGGGTGAGCCGCGCCGCGTGTGACTCGGCTGTGACGCGACTGTCATCGCAGCCGAGTCACACGCAGCGCGGCTCACCCGCCCCACCGGTCTGCAATGATGAGGACTGTATGTCCCGAGAACGTGAAAGCGCATTGCTATCGATTATCAATGGAACAACTTTGCGGGAACCCTTGTAATCATTAGGTTGTACCGGAAAGTTCTCAGCGTTTTGAGTGTTTCACTTTAAACGATCATAACTTTCTTAATACTCATCGGATTTAATCGAAATAAGCACCGTTCGAATCAGCACACTTTTGCCAATGTGACACCAGTCGATAAATCCCATCAAAGAAAAAACTGGGGGGGTCGGTTGGTGAAAGGTCTGGAGAATATGGCGGTGAGGTAGAACTTCAACCCCCAATTCGTTCAATTTATGGATAGTGATTTGTGAAACGTGTGCGTTGTCATGCAAAAGAATCGGACCCTTTCTGCTTGACGCTGGCTGCAGCTGACGCAATTTTCGGTACATTTCGTCGATTTCTTCACAGTAGGGTTCTGCTGTGATGGTTTGGCCTGGTGACAAAAAGTTATAGTGGATCACACCAGCCGATGACCACCACACTGTGACCATAATCTTTTTTTCGTGAGGATTCGGCTTTGGAAATTGCCTCGGTGGTTCGTCGGCATCCAACCACTGTCCGGAACGTCTCCTGTTATCATACATGATCCACTTTTCATCACAGGTGACAATTCGGTCCAAAAGGGTCGTTTCTGTTGCGCAAAAGCAGTGAAGAAGAAACCTCGAGACGTGCCAATTTCTGCCGGTCACTCAAATTGTGGGGCACCCACTTGTCGAGTTTTTTCACCTTCCCAATGCGTTTCAGACCATCCGCAACAGTGGATTTGCCAACGCCTAGCTTTTCTGCAATCTCTCGAACTGTTTGGGATGGGTCAGCCTCCACAAACGCCTTCAAATCCTCGTCAGGTATTGCTTTAGGTCGACCGCTACGAGGTTCATCTTCAAGGCTGAAATCTCCAGAACGAAATTTGTCGAACCATTGTCGCACGGTGCTTTCTCCAACACTATTGGGCCCCCACACCTGGTTAATTTTTCGAGCTGTCTGCGGATTGACCCAATTTGTAGTTGAAGAAAAATATCGTCCGAAGTTGCTCTTTTCACATGCTTCAAAAAGTCTTGGGGAAAAGGGGGTTCATCAAGCGGTTTATCAAGCATGGTGAAACGGCAATTATACCATCAGATAGCGCAAGAATTCTCTTCAGGATGTACTACTGAGACGCAAGGGAGAATGAGTTTTTAATCAGCAATGAATGTAGAAAAATTGGAAAAACAAAACGCTGGGAACTTTCCGGTCCCATGTTTTATACATTTGTGGACGCTGTTCTGAAGAATTGTTGTTCTTAAATTTGACGGAATTTCGGTAGCCAAAGCCAAACAACTGAAGTTTCATGCATTTCGATGTGATTCGAACTTCAGTTCCATTCAATCTGTTTATTCTCTCTATTCTTAGGTGTGATAAAGGAGTGCTTATCGTTCTGCAAAGGAGATGTTCCCACTTGTGACTCTCAGGCTATACTAAACTATCAACCATGCACGCAGGTATGTTATTCTCGCAATCTCTTGAGCTGTGATGGTATTCCCTTTTATGGGATTGCTTCCGAATAAGTAAAAAAGGTTTTTTATTACCGCACTTACGGTGGTCCCAGTATCCCTCTTGTGTGTATTGGCACATATGAGACAAACATCTTTCCGGCTGCAGTTGGGACTGCCTAGAGAGGAATTGTCAAAAGAAGCTGGGCGGTTGTCTCTCCATATTCTGCGCTGTTTATGGTTTTCGTTTGTCGGCCGTTTGTGTAGCATACATGCATGAACAAAGCGCGCTCCACACGTATAGCAGTAATAGCAGTCCTGTAGTTCCTCTGGAAATATTGGACAGTGAGCGCCCGTCACGAGCCCAAATGAGCAGTTGTAAGTGGCGCCACTGTTCATCCCCGCTTTTTTTCCTTCAGAAAAACTCCCATTACCTTGCGGAATTGGCTACTCGTTGGAATCTCGTGCCAGTACGGATAGAAAGACGAAAAAGGTGCCAAAAAGCAAAAGCGAAAAGTGCAAATAGATGCCTCTACAAGTCGCTTCATGAGCCAAGTCTGCTTTCACGACATCTCACAATTTTAAATGGGAGTCGGGGCATTACGCATCGAGGCCACCTTGACCAACGCTGTGAAAAGGGTTTCCCTTGAGCACCATTCCATATCTCCAAAAATACCTGGAAATTCCACGTCCTAGGAGATGAATGTCGATATTTTCAGCACATGAGCACCATCATGCAATGTCAAAAGGAAGGACTGGATATGAAGCCAAGATACGACCCTTACTGGTCTTCCGTCTGCGACTGGGAAGGAAAGTAGACACTGATACTTCATTATTTATGAGCTCTACCCACGTACGAGCTGTCGGGTAGGGCGCGTAGATTGTGTGTACGCAATTCTCTGTATAAATGTATTAAAACGAGTTTACGCTAAAAATTCGATGTCGATATCTTCTTTCAGAAGGTGGGTCTAAAAAAAGTATTCCTTACTACCGCTCATTTAGAGTGCGGCACAAAATTAGCTCTGATGGAACCGTGATCAGTAGAGCACCCAACGCCGCCTTTTGAAATCTCCATCTCATGGTCCCACCCTTGTGCTGGACCTTCTGCATGCACCTGCAAAATTCAAGCGATCGAAAAGCGATAGTAATGCGCTGTCGAAACAGACAAATGAAATCTGGAGCAAGATTTAGTTATTAACCTTATAAGAATTCGAAACTATAACTTGGCACGCAGCTCGTAGTTTAATGAAGAGCGGCATCACCATAACTACGCGGCTTGTTCAAGAATTCGAGCCGCATAGAAACCTGTTGACATGTCGGCAATATCAAACCACAATTGTACTTTAGATGCCCAAGAGATGCGACGTAGAACTCCTTCTAACGTGATGCATCAAATGCAAAAAAAAACAAGAAACTGCTATGATAGATGTTTTTAGGGCACATTATCGCGCTGTGGAAAAGTAGAGTCGGTAAGATTCTACCTCCAAAAGTGGCTCTTGGTAGTAACTTAATATTGGACGATCTAGGCTAAGTTTCTTAAGCCACCTCTCGTTCAAGCGACCG